ATGCATACAACCGATTTTTGCCTATGCACAAGTTTGCTTTCGCAGATTTTGGACTTCTGCGGTTTTTTACAGCGTGCTCTATTCTCTCCATGTTATACATTCTGGTGTCGGCTACTTTACGCCTATTGATTAACTTCTAAAGCTCCACTTGCTTTATTTGTCGATTGTCTTGGAGACTTTCACGTTTTGTCGTCTCTTAATGAGATTTCTTGTCTCCTGAGTTAGTATGGCAGTGTCCTGCCTAGTTACAGTACCTCCGACTTCCATTGCACACTCTTTGAATATACTAGTAAGATTATCATTTATTGTGTCAACGCTAACGTTGATTATCTCATTCAGAGCAGCCAATCTATTCTGAAGTGACACTCTTCATTAATGTACCTTTTCCTCTACCACTAGCTCAATATTTATTTAATTATTTGCATTTGCTTTTTAAAATTTAGGTGAATACGAGCTCTTACCACTTTATGGACAGAGCGTAAGATCTTTCCAACTACTCCTACATCCTGTACAATACCTGGGTGTGCACACAGAATGAAATCTATTTGATGTTTAGTATCGCCAATCGCCACGTCCACTGGCGGTGAGACCGTTTTTTTTTTTTGTAGAACGCATTCAAGAACCGTAAATTATTGCGTTCTGCGAACTCCACTAATAACTGCGCTCTGCATTTCTTGAGCTCATGCGATATTCCCCAACTGCATGGTCTTCGGCTTGTTTCTTGTCTACATTGGCAATAAAGTTGCCAATAAGTACAGTGTTCTGTGTTTTTACTTCTTGGATCATTGATTGCTGGCTCTATGTATTCGTAGAAGCTTTAATCCAAATGTCCCCGATGTAGACGCGTAGGCCTCTACCACCTTCATTTTTTACCTTTGTTAAACTTAACTACAATAATTGCACCCTCTCATCGATGCTATATTATTCTTCTATGATGTAAGCAGTATTTTTGTGCGTAAGAAACCCTGTCCATTATTCTACGTTAGCATAGAATGTTTCCGTTCTACAGCACTGTATGAACCACACGTGTCCTCCTACCTTCCCTGAGCCATATTACATCCTAAATATTACCCTCTAATTTCTCGAATAGCATAGTTAGACGAGTGTCACTAGATAGCGTTCTAGCTTTGACCGTAGCCAAGTTCTGGTACGCTCATACGGGAGGTAGTGGCGAAGTACTGCACCAAGGTGGTCAATCCTGCTTTGGTGAGGGAGTACATTACCGGCAAGTGGTCGCCAGTGAGGCCGCATCCCATACTTTTTAAAGACGATATTCTTTCTTGGAGACCTTTGACGCAAACATTTTGGTGTGTGTGTGTGTGTGTGTGTGTGTGTGTGTGTGTGTGTGTGTGTGTGTGTGTGTGTGTGTGTGTGTGTGCGTGCGTGTGTGTGCGTGTGTGTGTGTGTGTGTGTGCGTGTGTGTGTGTGTGTGTGTGTGTGTGTGTGTGTGTGTGTGTGTGTGTGTGTGTGTGTGTGTGTGTGTGTGTGTGTGTGTGTGTGTGTGTGTGTGTGTGTGTGTGTGTGTTCCAGTAAGTCAACTTCATTGAGGCTATCACACACGTTTAGGGTCATTTTCCGTCAAAGAAAGACGGCTGTGGTTAAAACGGCAGAGGTTGTCATAAAAACTAAGCCCAAAATGCTCATTCACCTAGAACTGCCCATACTTCGAACTTAAACACAATGCAGACAGCTCATATATAGGCAGGACATCGATCCTTAGCCAACTTGCAATGAGCAACGCAGCTCCATGGGTCATTCTATATTGGCAATCTTGAGCGTATCTCGTAAGCAATCCACAAATGTGACGCGAGAATCTCGACTGGAACCATAATAGATGTTTATAATAGTACATCAAAAAAGTCGCCGCGAGGAACACCGTTGTGGACAGGCGCGGTGCGCCGCCATGAGAGACGACGTGCCGAAAGTAGTGCAAAAATCATAGAGGAAGAAAAAAACTTGGGAAAAGCACTGACGTCACTCGTTGTGAAGCCGTGATGAAGCCGGAAGTCGGCTATATTGAGTGGGCAAATTCTCCTTTCTTGTTTACATCCGAATATAAAGCAGAAGGCGCGACTCTATCTCTGGCTCGGAATGCACGTGGTCTCAGCAGCGCGCGTGTCGTGACGATCTGAAACTAATGGAACGGGGCTCAACTTTCTGGGCCAGCGCGACACCTTCGGCGAAATCATTTCGTCCGAGTATTAACAGCGAGTAACAGCTCGACGAAAACGAAGGAAGTACAAGAGAACGCGCACTAGATGCACAGACAACGGCGAGTGTTTTCACGTTAATAATTCGCGCACTGTACAGACATCACGATCGGTCGTGTGCCTTCTTCTACGGTTGCATTCTGACACAAGGCCGACGCAGCGCCCGGCCACTGTGCCCATGTTCCGCGTGAAACTCGCCGGCGTCCACATTCTGCGACAATGGTGACTTTGAGCACGGTGCAAGTGACACTTGAACGAAGTTGCTCTAACGTTGAGATTGCCATTCTGAGGGCGAGTATAACAAGCGGAACAGAAAAGGTGTTTTATTACGCACACGCAAGTTGTTACTGTACACGTACCGAGCACTAAACTACGTATGTGCACATGGTCCTCGTTGCGTCTTGCTGGGCACAACAGTTTTGCCCAACGCAATTTTGCTGAACACTTAATATGCTTCATCCGCTGCACGACACATGGATATGCGCTCGTTCTACGCACTGTTCAGGCCCCGCGGTGGACGAAAGGTTTTGTAAATGTTGTTAAGAGTACAGTAACTGCCAGGAGAACACAGCGTAACCAACGCAGCGCAGAGCACGGATATTGTCCGCCACGGCTCAGCACGAGACCAGCGGCGAGACACGTGCCGCCGCCAGCCACAGCCGCTCACTGCTGGGCCAACTACACTGCGCAACACGTAACCATGACAACGCCGCCACTGTACCCAGTGAATATGGCCGCCATGATGTCATTTCCTCCACACATTTAACGTAGCGCACCGGCTCGGCGTGCCCCCACCTATCTTTCCTTCTTCCGGGGCAAAATCTTCAGAAGCGCCGCAATAGGAAGCCAAAGCAAAGCATGGTGGCCCTGCGGCTCCAGAATGGCAGCGCCATCTTTGGTATAAAAGGGAAAATTGGGGATGTATATGGCGCGTTTTCCCTTCGCTCCAATGAGCTGCCGCTCGCTTACGTGCTCGTGCAAAGAGCGTGCGCTGCGTTTGAGTCACCTCATAATGTACCGCCTGCAGTGCGGCTTCACAAAGATCTCTGATCTGGACAAGCACTTCCGAGAAGCGAATCGAACCAAAGTAGTAAAGTTCGTTAGTCAAGTTTATAATGTGGAGCTGAAGACCGAAGACGAGGACGCCCGAGTCACTGCGAACTGCATTTCTCGGGTCCTCCGTGATAATACCGTGTACGACGTATGCCTCGAGGTAAGTCTCATTCTGCCGACATGAAGCCGCGTACTCTGTCGATGTGCTGCGTTGACGTTTATGGAAAGCATATAATTGTTGTTTTGAAGTGGTATCTAGCAGTAGCATCCGTGTACTCTCATGTGCAAACGTTTGCAGCGTTCACAAAAAATAAAAAAAAATAAAGTTATAGGGTCACAACATTAAAATATCCGAGAAGATTTAGAGTCGTGTCCTCTGTGCCGTGGGAGCATGACCCGCTGACGTCGTTGCAAAGCAGCAAGCTAAGTTTAACGACAGCGAGTCAAGTTGAAGTGCTCGCCTTTTTTTTTGGCTCTCGTGTCATGCTTGCTCTATCTTTCGCGAACGCGGCTGTGTTTGCCGGCTGTGACTTGCTGGGAAACCGATACAGCTTTACACATGGAGAGCGTCCCTTGGTGTTCCTTGCCTTGTTGTGGCAGCTCACAACACAAACTCTGGACCGCGGCGACGCTTCCGTGGGGCCGCTTCTTTCATCGTGGAAATGCAACTTCACACAGCAAGCGTCTCGTATTAGTGCGCCAAGCTGACGACATGGCGCCCAAGTTCCCCGGGCTGACAGCAGAACGCGTTGCGCGTGTGTCGCACGCACTCCCGTTTCGACATAACACGCGCACTCGCCTGCGATGCCGGTGGTTGTGGCGTGCCTCTGTAATCCAGCTGCTTGGAGGCTTGTGCTAGTGGACGGGTTGAGATTGGGAGTCCTGCCCCATGTTGGCCTATGTCGAACGGGTGTCCGCGCTAAGCTGGGCGTTGATATGGTGACCCCGGGGGAACCTGGTGGTGACCAGGTCGCCTAAGGAGGAGCGAACCGGCCCAGGGCGGAAACACTCGCCAGCGACGTCCCCTGCGTCTCTCCTCAAGTGTTCCTGCGCTCGCCGCCAGGGCCAGGCGTGGCGTTGTCGTCGCTTTGCAAACTTGAGCTTCGGGGGCCTATAGTTTTCGCGACCGCCATTCGGCCCACCCTTATCTGTTGGCGTAGCTTTGCAAATGTGTTTATTATAGTGAAGTTGGCTGCAGCTGCGAACTGCCGCAAATGATTGCGGAGGCCACGCCTCTGGCATTAGCTTTCTTAGTCACGAAGTGTCCAAAATATAAACGAGTCGTCGGGAACAAATAACGTGCACTCACTCCAACGCGTCATTTCATGACTGTACGTTTATTGCTAAGAAACGTTCAGTACAGTTAGTGACAAACGTGATTAGTACTAAACAGATGACTAGTAATAAATATTCTAGCGCCATTTAGCTGTGTCCCGTGTTTTGATGTAAACTGAGGAAATATATGCACCAAATTTGGGCAATTATTAAAAAATCATGAGCGCTTAGCATATCGAGGAAACGAGTGCAAGCGAAGCTGAGCGCGCAGCTTGCCTGACGTACTGCTTTTCTCTATTTTTGTTTGCTCATTCTCATTGCGCAGTGCTACTTCCTAACGTAACCAATCAGTTTTATGATCGGAAGTGGTCGTACCTATAACTTAGTTTTCGGGCTGAATCGGCATGACGTCTTTCATACTCTTTTCAGCGTACGTCAGAGAACATCTTAATGAAAGTACCATCACGCGATCTGAAAACATAGTTTAGGAAGTCAATTTTATCGAAGTCAAAATTTTCGTGACTCTGCAGTTCCTTATAACGGCCTTTCTGTTTTCCAACTGATTGGTTTTTGGTCCACCAACACCAAAGAACATAATGCAGTGCAAATGTATTTCTTCTCGTTTTTTTTTTTTTTCGCGTCGTCTGTACAACACATTCATGTGCTTCAGTTCAGTTTACAATAGTAGAGTGTGGGTGCGTGGCCTGGTGGTCACTGTATTCGCTATAATACCGGGTGTACGTACCCGACTTCAGACCTCACGAGAGAGAAAAAAATAATGTGTGTTGCTTAATATTTAGGTATTTTGTACACGCCAGCCGTCTATAAGGACCTTTTTTTTTTTACCATCACCATCATCAGCTTCTAAGGCTAGTCAATACAAGCTTTGCTTACAAACGTTTAACGATTTAGGACAATATGTAATGTACTATGGGAGAACATTATAAGCTGTGCTGCTATTAATAGAGATGCATCAACCACGAAGTTGGTTCCGAACTGTGCGTTTAGAATAAATGCTGAATTCAGTGTACAGGGTTCTAGAGCCCCAAGCCACCCAGATAGGAAAGCTCACAGAGCTCTGACGTGTTTGTAACAAGTGGCCGACCGACGAGGTACTCTACTATGGTGTGCCTCTCCTTTGTTTTCTTCCGAAGGCTCACTTGCCAGCAACGTGCTTAGAACAAATGTCTGACGATTTATAACCCATTCAGGCGCAACGTCCACATTTGTGGACGCCAAGTTCACACCTAGGTGTTTCGAAAATAGGTCTTGAGTCTCGCGCGCAAACAAGGCTCCCGCAACCTCTGCATCTTGCTGCAAGGACGCGTGGCGCCATCTCTTGCACCTGGCTCAAAATAACAACGTAAACAAAAGTCAAAATGGACGCCTCCACTTTCTATGGCGGGACACGTAAGTGGCTCTGATGTTTTTATCGTTTACTTCGTACCTTTTAAGCTGGCGTGAAATTTTGCATTTGTCAGTAATAACTAAGATATCCCGCATGCCTTTTAACAATATTTTGGCAATAGGAAATCATTTGTAATGACAGAAAGGTTCAGCTAAATTTCGCGTCCACGAACGTGGACACTGCCCTTCAGTGCTTCCTTTGTTGAAAGGCTGCTATTTCTTTGTGTTTCACTTCCGGCAGCATCAAATGACGTTTACGTTAATAATTTTTGTCACCAGGAGTTCAAGATCATGCATCGAGACGACAAAAAGTCGACGGTGAAACAGCAGAAGACGTCTTTAAAAAATAGCCAATTGAGATGTTTCCGATGGAGACATTTCGGACGACGAAAAGGAGGAAGAGAATAAAGAGAACACAAAATTACGTTCTGTTTGAAAAACCATTAGCCTTTTAGTTAAGATCCTGCCGCCCGGTTCTTGGCCGATCCCCCTTTGTGGGTGTGCGCCAGACTATCAAGGATCATCATCATCATCATCATCATCAGCTGAGCGTCAAAAAGCCCCAGAAAAAGCGTGGGCGACCAAGCAGTGAGAACCCCCAGGTGATGAAAAGGAAGGCACCCAATGCGTCACCCCTGCCAGTGAGCACTCTTCGCTATGACGGCATCCAGCACTGGCCACAGCAAATGAACATACCCAACGCACAACCCTGCAGGAGGGTTGGATGCTCATTTAAGAGCCGCGTTCGCTTCAGGAAGTGTGACATTTTTCTTTTCCTGACATCGCAGAATGACTGCTTCTACCTCTTTCACACTAAATAGACTTTTTCTGGTAACTTCTCCCAACATTACTTTGAAAGAAGTTATTTTTAATTTAAATGGAAAGCGTGTTTTCTTCTTTGTCACCTTTCACTAATATTACTGCTTTGAGGCGCAATGTCCACAAATGTAGACGCTGAGCAAAAATTGAACCAATAAACATATTTTGCATTTGTTTCGAGTTTCTTACTTTAAAAGGCTTAAATATTGAAATTATGAACAAAAAAACATTTTCACGTTGCCAGGTTTAATTCGCGCCTGAAGGGGATAATACGATGTGCTCCACTATGCGAGAGCAACAAGCTGTCCCAGTTTCAGACAGCCACAATGGTCTGTGGGTCAACAACAAGTGGTTAACGATTTCGAGTATACCATACAGTAATATAAAAGGTCAAGAGAGGACACTTCCATAAGCAAGCCCCTGCGGCTTATTGCGGTTCGTAGCGCACCAAACGGGTGTGGTGAAATTTTTCAACTTCAGAGATGGAAGACCACAGAAAAGACTGTCTCGAAGGTTATTCGGTAGTGACTCAGATTATTATACAACCTCTGAGACCACTTCTATCTGCGTGCTGATTGATGAGGCCATACTTGAATTTTTTAACATGTTTGGATGCATCGATGAGCTTCATGTCAATGAGTGTCTATGCACGCATTTTAATTAAAACATGAGAATCATTAGAGGAGCGAAAACTTTTATTTTCAAGTGAAATTCTGGGTAAGCTCATGCCCACTTCGTTAATGTTTGATAAACGCAGGCACAAAGAGAGGTTCATTGCACTGCGAGACGCCAAAATACAGCTGTCATATCATGATTATAAAATACACAAAAGAAATAAACATAAAGGCAGCAATATAACAAGAACCGCAGCTGAATAAAACTGCAACAAACGCGCACCGTGCCTTGTCGCGTTGTGCACACATACAGTGCACAACGCGACACGGCGGTACTTGCCCCAGCGATTGGCTCCGACGTGAACCGAAAAAAGTAAAGAAAAATGTTGGCTACGTTTTGCTCCCACCTTCGCACTAATTTTCTCCTGCCCACTTTATTTACATCACTACTTCGCGAAAAACAGCCACAAGCAGTTGCCGCAGCAAAAACAAATCAATTTTAGGTGTCATGCAAGTCGTTAACGAGGCAGGAGTATTTACTCAAAGTTAGGTCCCAGTTTTAGCCAGCAAACTTTTTTCTAGATTCACCACTTTTCTATTAATGCGCTCGTTAGCGCTTCAAGCAATTTTCGAACGGCACAGACAAGGATACTGAGCATAGCTGCATTTTTCACAAAATCTCACTTATGCAGTGAATTCTATCACACAGTGGCCCAAAGAAAACCTAACAACGTGATGGCGACTCAATTTCTTGACCCAAGAAAGAATTTTCTCGCAAACGTGCTGCGAAGCATTCTAAGCAGTTTTCTTTCGTGTGAAGCAATCAAAAAAACAGTACGCAAAGAGGACAAAAAAAAAAGATCTCTGAGCCGAATAGCACATTGCCACAAACGTTAGGTTGATGCTTCAATGACAGATGCAATACGCATTTAACATAATATTGATGGCATTCGTACCTACCAGCAGCCAAAGCCAAGTTGAGAGGCAGCCGAAACAAGCAAAGACCATGACGCACGCCAGGCACGTTATCGCACATCTTTTATGGCGTCTCCCTGCGGCTGGCCGTACTTCATCATTACCGCAAATGCTCATGAACATGGAGCGTGACAATGTTGCCGTCGCCTGGACGCCTTGTGCACTTCTTTCGCATACGATCCATGCCTGATCCCAGCCCGACGATATCGCACCGTACACTCGCAGACGATAAAAGGGAGCTTTAGAATAGTGCACCGCGAGCCTTTGCGGTGCGGTTGCTGCCACTGCGCATGCGTCGTAACGCGAGTCGTCGTTCGCGTTCGCGGACCGCATGCAGAAAATCCAAAATTGCGTGCGGTGATGGCGGCCCGCATGTGGCCCGCAAGCGCTGGTTTCTAGGCTACGGTGTCGCTGCGATCGTGCGTTGCGGTTCGTAGCAGGGCAAACGCTATCCTAAAACTCTTATGGCACCCGCTTCGCCCGCAACGCCAGCAGCGCTTGCAAACGGTATTCTAAAACTCCCTAAAGACGGATTCAGGCTACTATCACATACGCAAAAGCACGTAGAAGTATAATGAACTAAAAAAAGGTAGTGTAGTAAATAACTAGTAAGCGTGTTTCTTTGACGCAGTTGGTGGTGTGTTGCCATCTTAAGGCTGGGGTGAAGCCGCGTAGCTCAGCCGCTTTTCGGCCCAAGTGACTACTCTTGTCACCTTTTATGTTACTCCATGCGAGTACTCCGAACTGGACTATTGGACAGCAGTGAACCCTCCTGATGAAGGGTCCATGTCCAAGAAAGTGTTGAGAAAAAGTTAATAATGATATAGAGTACTCGGTACTCTACTATTCGAGAGCAAAAATCCGTGCCGTGAATTACGGCAGAACGTTCAAAAGAAACGCGTGTGTGTGTGTATGTGCGTGTGTGAAGAGAGAGTGATGAACAATATGGAGTACTCTGTACTCTACTATGGGCCGCACGAAAATTTGCCGTGGAAACATCTATTGTTTACAATGCCATTTCAATTTTCATAGCATATGAATTGTGCTTACAAAGTCGACTCACCGGAACACGTGGGCTGGCTGCAGACAACATTTAAAACGCAATTCCGCAGTGCTGCAACTTCTGCAACTTTGATCTTTCCAAAGCGGTAAATTACTTCGCAATTTGCACCTGTCTTTTATTTGAAATGTTTCGGGAATGGCAACTTTTGTTTGTACTTTGTTATTTTTTATGGAAGAGAACACGGAACCATGTGGCCGGTTCTCTGCGGCGTCCGCCAACAGCGCGATTAACTATCAATGAAAAAAAAAATGGCAGCATATCCACGGGGTGAATGATGGAGAGTGGGGTGAAGCATCCGTCCGTCCGTTCGTTCTTGTTTCCGTCCATCCGTGCGTCCGTCTGTGTGACCGGCCATGCGTCCATCTGCCAGTCCGTGCGTGCGTCTGTTCGTGCGTTCACTCCAGCACTCGTCCTCGCAACCGCCCCCGCGTCTGTCTATGCGTCCATCCGTCTGTACAGCCATCCGTGCGTCCGTCCATGCATCTGTCTGTGTGTCCGTTCGTCCATCTAGTCAACACTCCAAGTACCACCATATCGCATCTTTTCATCTTATATTCCGCATATAGAAGCACCGCCATCCAGCGGACTTTGCAAGGACTGAAAAAGAGGAGGCACACACACACTTCCTTATGGCTTGCACTTCGGGTCTACTTCCCACCTTTAGCCACCTCAAGTTCATGATATATACTAGTTCATTGTATTCATGGCACTGCGACCAGACGCTCGTTAAACCTTTCCAAAACCAAGGAGGTTACGCTCAGCGAGTATAACGTAGCGCAACCCTTTCTTGTCAGATAGTGCTCAATGTACATGCCCAATGGCTGCTAATGTGGAATGAGACCTAGGAGAATTCGGTTTTTAAACGCACACGCTGTAATTTTTTTTATTGTTCAACAACGCACAGGAGAAATCTCCCACGGGCACCACCTAGCAGGTCAACACGTAAGACATGTTACGTACTACGTCGAGGGAACGAAAAAAAAAACAGGAAGCGAGCAGCGCGAACCAGCCGCGGACCCCCCCCCCCCCCCCCACCGGCAGCAAAAAAAAAAGTACGCGTCTGTTTATTGATGATGATAGTACTGCTAGCGTCATCTCACCTCGCGGTATTGCAGTTTAGTACGCCGCCGCTACGTATTTGCATGTTATTTTGATACAACAGCCCAAAGGTACAGTTTCCGTTCTCTAAACTGGTAGGTGTTCTGTGGTGCCGCTGTAAGAAGCCTCGCCCCTTAAAGAAAGACATGTTCGCTTTCGTCATCTATCGGCAATCAATATAACCAGTCAGGACCGGTCTTGAACGAAACAAAAAAATGACCCGTCCTCTAACCAGGGGCCGGGCCCCCTACCGGGATGAACGTAACTGGATGATGAGGGGTTGATCAGTCACATGCACTTGGGGACGCGGCGCTTTCGGGTGCCAACTCCCCTGTCTATCTGACAACGGTAGGCGTACGCTCGCCTCCAGACTGCCGGGGTCGGTAGGAGCGCTGCTTGGTACGCTCCCGTAGAGATACTGTATATGGGAGCATATACTGTAGACACATTTAGTTGGGCGTACGTAACGAGCCTACGTACGCGGCACGATACGTGCCGTACGCTGCATGCGAAGTGCTCAATGACACTTTTATTTCACCGTATCGACCGTACCGAGATACGTCTGCTTCAGCTAGACGGATGTTCTTAGAAATAAAACAGCTTTTGAGTGCTTTTTAGCGCCTTCGTGCGGCAGCAGCGCAACATCGTCCCTCAAAGTAAAATATATTCTTTTTGGGCCAGCTTTGTTGGTCTCTGCGTTCGACGCCATCGCTTCTGTTTTGCTATCCGGTTCCCATATCAATCGAGATATGGCGAGAGCGTCACGCCGTGTACGCTTCGCCTCATCACGTTTACGCACACCGCGTTTTGTTTTTGTTTTTTCGGGCGTACGCGCGCATCTCTGGAATCAATGCGTTACGTACTGCACATGCGCACTTCTCTCCCGTGGCAGTGTTGCGTACGTGGGCTCGTTGATTGATTGATTTGTGAGGTTTAACGTCCCAAAACCACCATTTGATTATGAGAGACGCCGTAGTGGAGGGCTCGGGAAATTTTCACCACCTAGGGTTCTTTAACGTGCACCCAAATCTGAGTACACGTGCCTACAACATTTCCGCCTCCATCGGAAATGCAGCCGCCGCAGCCGGGGATCGAGCCCGTGACCTGCGGGTCAGCAGCAGAGTACCTTAGCCACTAGACCACCGCGGCGGGGCGTACGTGGGCTCGTTACGTACGACCAGCTAAAAGTAATGTACAACAACCTCAAAAGTGAACAGCACTTCGAGATAAGTAATAGTGCACTTGAAGTTGTTAAAGACTACGTCTGCTCACGGCAGGTAATAACCACGGAACCAAACCACGAGAATGAAGTAATTAGACGAATAAGAATGGGGTGGAACACATTCGGCAAGCGCTCTCAAATTATGACAGGTAGATTGCCACTATCCCCCAAGAGGAAGGTATATAACAGCTGTATCTTGCCGGTACTTAGCTACAGAGCAGAAACCTGGAGACTTACTAAGAGGGTTCAGCTTAAATTGAGGACGACGCAGCGAGCGATGGAAAGAAAAATGGTAGGTGTAACCTTAAAAGACAAGAAGAAAGCAGAGTGGATTAGGGGACAAACGGTGGTTAAGGATATTATCGTTGAAATAAAGGAGAGGAAATGGACATGGGCCGGGCATGTAGCACGTAGACAGGATAACCGCTGGTCATTAAGGGTAACTAATTGGATTACCATAGAAGGGAAGCTGGTTAGGGGGAGACAGAAGGTTTGGTGGGCAGATGAGATTAAGAAGTTTGCGGGTATAAATTGGCAGCAGCAAGCACAGGACCGGGTTATCTGGCGGAACATGGGAGAGGCCTTTGTCCTGCTGTGGACGTAGTCAGGCTGATGATGATGATGATGATCATGATGATTATGAACTCTACGCTCCCATATAGAGCCTTCATGCACGCGCCGCCTCAAGACGGAGCTGACGCGCACATTGAGGGTCCCTACGCTACAGCAGAGTCCTTCAATGCTTTTCTGGTCACGAAACTCCGCCCGAAGGTTGATATAGGGACAAAATCTGTCGCTAGAGGCGCCACCCGTCGTATGGGGGCCACAAGCCGCCGCCACTGCTGGGCTTGTATGCGCACTGCGGCCGACGTTTCGACGCGATTATGTGCGTGCTGTTCTTCCTGTTACCTTTTTTTAAACGTCTCTGAACGCATCAATGCCACCAGATAAATAAGTAGAAACGGGATCCAGTGTCGACGACGAATGAGAGCTGTTTACTTTGGAACGCACGCGTAGTTTACTTGGAAGTGCGGGCCCACCTTATAAACAGCAGCGCATTAAAAGTGTTCTCACACCGAGCGATAACGCATTGTGTCAATAATTGTCTCATAGCCCAATTATATGCATACTTACGATGCTTCGAAGCGGTACTTGCGAGCTATAGCTCGCAAGTGTTGAAAGACGATGCTTATGCTCCATGCTCTTGATGCGAGCAGCTACTGCTTGATCTGCTCGACAACATGTTTGTATTTGCGCCCGGCCAAAGGGCGATTATGTTTATGCGGTAGGTGAGCTTTATATTCTGGTAGGGCCGCTAATAGGGGGAGGAAGGTGAACGAAATGAAACACGACCGGGTAGTACAGGAGCAATCACATTGGTTTATATCCGGCTCGCCTCTCGCGCGCTACTACCCAAGTATTCAAATGAACTGAATGGTTGAGCCAGAAGTTTTATTCCAGACCTTTCAATTGAGTTTATACCCAAATGCGCAGTTGTTTTGGACACACGTTTGTGAGCGCCGATCGCTTTTTTGACGCGGGGACTTTCGATGCCGAGGGCTTTCGCGACCGCTCTAAACGTGCCCAACATTTGATTGATCACTTCTTTTCACGCAGTTTACACGGGACATCCGCCGCTTGACGTTTCCTTGTGTTTACTGTTTAGGGCATTATTATTTACCGGCCGACAACCCATGATTTCTCCGGGAACGGAAGTACAGCAGCCTAATCTGGAAGTTCCTTTTGATGCCAGTGCTAGCCGCTTGGCCGCCTCTGCCACTACCGAGGTACCTCATCACACATTTGTTTTTATTTATTTGGGTGGGAGGGGGGGGAAGGGCAGTTATGATTTAAGGCATGCAATAAATCTTAAATTTGGTGCTAATGATACGCCGCCTAGTAGTCAGGTGTGTACTTATGAATGGGAGATTCACATATGGTGCACGTAATGGGGAGAAAGTTGGAAAACATTTATTTACACAAAATACATTGAGAACAACACTTTGGAGAAGAAAAGCACTAGAAACTATTGCAGCTGTTCTGAGCAATGTTACACAATCTGTGACTCTACTGTACAATGTATATTTCGTTTCATTAACAGCTGCACTCTGCCTTAGCTCACTGCCTAAAATAAACTGTATTTGAATATACACTATTTACACTATATGCAGATAAATATGAATAGTACGAAAATATTACAGTGTAATGTATACAAGATATACAACACTATATACAAATGGGAAGGCGTGCTCACATACACAGCCATTATGATTAACACTGTGGCTTCCGCCCACCACTTGCAGGGCAAGAACTGCGCACAGTTGCCCGCGAGGCTTTGTTTTTTTCTCGAGTGAAGAAATGTAATCTACATCTCAAAAAAAAGTGTACAACCTCAGCTGTTGTCCCTAAAAAGTGCAACAGACAACCTACACTTGCTGACGCTGTGCGGCTGTCGAGCAAAATGCCCTCAACAATCCTCGCGTACACGTCACCGCATGCAATGTTTTGCACCGTGTACGTCTCCACATGTTCTTCAACAATTTTCAGGAGAGCAAGAAGACGGCTGCTGGGTACTTTCAAATAGCCCCTCGATTTTGTTTGGATCAAGGCAGATGGCTGACGTGTTGTGCTCAACATCGTTTCGATGCAGCCTAAGCAATCCAGAGTAGAAAACTTCTTGGCCACATATCCGCCGAGGTAATCCAAAATGGAGTCTTTGGTCGAAAGGGGGCCAATGTCATCCACGCAGTCTGTTGTTGGCTCCAGCAGGACATCGTCCAGCAGAACAGCTAGTGTGTCCACCTGAAATGTGCACAACTTCCTGAATTTTCAAGGTGATAAAAAAGAAACTTCAGGACACATACAGGACACAAACTGCAAAATACCTGAGTCGTAGAGGGCTTTTCCTTGTCAAAAAGACCTTGCAGAGTGAGAAGCAGTTGTGGCCCGCTTCCGTCAACTGAAGCTCGCTTAGGTGGCCGCACGAGGTTGTTCACCGACAGCATCCGGTATATAAACAAAAACTGCTGAACAGTTGGTTGGCCCCCGTCTCCTGCAACATGCCTGGCTATCCCAAAGAAGCGCTGGACAGGGAAAAAGAAAGGTATATGTACCAACACACCGTGCCAAAAAGTACCTGAATTACCTCTAAAGGGTCTTGACCGAGGTTTCCAACTAGAACATAACGGAAGCCAGACTTCAAGAGTCGATCAATCAGGGCCACCGTGCTGTGCAGCGTTATCCTCAGTGCACCACAAGTTGGTTTGCTAAGGAAGCACACCTGCCTCTGCTTCGGCAGGCTCTCTATGTATGTGCAGCAATCCTCCAGCCACTTTATGTTCGCCTTCAATGTCTGCAATGCAAGAAATATTAACCTTGAGTACACTATAAAAGAAAAACATATTTGGGTGTGATTTACTCGCTCACCGCGATGTGCTCGGCTTCGTTGTATTGCACGTCCTGTGGTCTTCTTGAGTTGAGGCAGTCAAATAGATCGTTCATCTGCTTTCTGAAGTCGTATGTACCTGCGGAGTTATGTAGCTTTTGGCAGCCTTCTTGCTTGCTATAAAACTCCATTGCAGACGCCGTGCTTCCGCTGAAAAGCTAAAAATGATGGCACACTGTTGTTCGAAAGAGCTTGCAATGAAATTTGTCTTTTTTGACAAATCATCAGCAAAGCTTTGTGTCATTAGTTCGCCTGTAAGTAGCCTTACTAATTACTAGGAGTGGTTACTCGCCTGAACAGCAAGCCGGACACTCATCTTCTGGAAGGCGTTCGGGAAGATGTGAGCCCTTGTGAGCTTTGGGACAGCCCGAAGGCCAGCCTGTTGCTCCTCGTACTCCAGCAGACCAGAGTAGTTTAAGTGATGGACCTCATGTCCTTCCGGTAGCTGCGATAAAAACGTGAAGCCACTCCTCGCAAAGGGAGTAACCTGACGTAGATACGAATTACTGCTTACCAGAAACTTTCCAACCTTCTGAAGATTGTTCCTTATGCATTTGAAGACATGCGGTGGATCAATTAGTGCCTGCACTGTCCGTGAAGGGTCACATGGATGCTGGAATGAAGTTTGCAGCTGTTTCTGGTCACTGTTTATCCCTGAAAAGAACACATCAATGCAGTTAGTAGTGTTCAATTCTTAATTTGACAAATTTAACTCGTGTCCCCTGATACTAACCCAAGCTCCTTAAAGCTGAACGATTTGGTGTTGAATTGTCGCATGTAACAGCATCGACAATAGCGCCAGCGTTCGAAAGGTGCACAATGCACTGGAGCAACAACTTCGCTACTATTGAACCAGGGGCTGCACCGGAGGAACAAAAGGTCCCAACAGTCTGCGACCACCCTCCAAGAAATGGTCGGAAGAGAAAGACCAGGACGTGATCGCCATCTTTCTCACAGTCCGAGGGGCTTGTGTGCTCAGCGAAGTTAACTTTTCCGAGCAGAGCCATGTCTGACTCCCTAACGTGCACACTCTTTCTTACGCTCATTTCATCGAACATCAGGACACCTGTAAAAAAATACATCTTATTAGACATGCACCACATATGAGATATGAAGTCATAGAATGCAGTAGTAAGTTTGTGCATTGTTCCAAACCTCGACGCTCTCGCTCAGGAAGTACTTGCAGCTTGTCTTTGAGAACGGTGAATAGACTGCTGTCAAAACCAAAGTCAGCCTTGAGGCTCCTCAGGTACGTGTAGAGGGTGCGAGGGTTGGGCAAGGGAAGGTACTCATTCTCGTGAAGGAATGTATAGACCGCTGTCGACTTAATCTTCAGTAGCAGGCAGTCATAAATCCATGCTTTTTTGTACCTAAAGAGAGTGCAGGCTCGTTGTGCATTCAGGTAAACCGAGGCTGGTGAGTGAACAGTGCAAGTGCATAACCACAGCAAGCAGAAAAAAGAAGATGCACGACATGCATCACACCATCTTTCCTCATACCGCAATACACAACCACCGCGTTTAAAAATGCCTTGTCATTTTCAATATTAACATGCACCCCTACTCCAGTACGAGAGCAACAGACAGCTTGCATTGTGCGATCATGCAAAGCGGGCGATTTAGGATTACTCTGACATGCAATGCTAGCGTGCACTGCTCTTAAAAAATATGCACAAGACAGTTGCACGAAAAAGAAGTGCGATTATATTCATAGCTTTGTGGCAGTTATGTGCGACTGAAGATTACCTGGCAGCTTTCGGAGATTTCGCGTTTGCCTTCATGATGCACTGATCGTAAATAAGCTTCTCGCGGGTAGATAGCTTGTCCAGGTTTTGCAAGAGTCTTGCATTTTTGTTGGCCAGGACTCTCATCTTCGCAAGCTGCTTCTGACACCGTTCGAGTCGTTGCCGCGTACTCGAAAGCTGCGCCTTTAGCGCCTGCACTTCAAGAAACGAACACACTGCCTGTTCCGTTTGGCAGGCCTGATCTGCGTGTCCGCTATCGCTGGCTGCTGCATCTGTAATACAATTCAATAACACTGTTCAGAAGCACCTCAATGCCACCAGCCGCTAACACAGGGTCATGCGACTGAGGGAACAAAGTAACGCCGCGACTAAACCGGCTCAAGAGCTTACCGTCACTGGCTTCTCCTGCCGAGTCGGTGTTGACATTTTGGCATTCCACTGCTGCGCATTCCGGTGACAATTCGCGCCGCCTCTTCGCTGGTTGCCTCTGAGTCGCAGGCCGTGAACGCGGTTTCGGCTTCGTCAGGTACGCCGGGAGCCCGTCAAAAATTCTTGGAACGGCGTTCGTGCGAAGCCTCGGTCTCTCTCGCTGAAGCGACACGACCACCCCGTTCACGATGTGCTCGTCGGTTCTCACAACGTCGCTAGCATCAAAATGTTTTTCGCACACCCGAACGTTCTTACTTTCGAAGCTGAAACCGCCAGCTTCCAACCGCGGTATAGCTCGCTTCCATTTCTCTCGGAGTTCGGCGCTACTTGGGAAACAGAAGAGCGACGCCTTTTCTTTGTTGCTTCGGTATCCGGAGCTGCAACCCGTCACACAGCACGTCTTAGGCATTGTTCATTCAAATTTTCATGCCGTCCACCTTGAGCACGGTGCACTGGCACATGAAGTTCGCGTTTCGCTGATGCAGAAACCGCGAGCTGCCACCACACAACGCCTTCGGGATGCCGCCGCGGCCAGTGCGCCCCGCCGGGCGCAGCGGGGCGATGGCCCCCCTAGGACGGCTAGCGCCGCGTAGCGGCCGCTCTTGGCACCATATCAAGCTCTCCCATAGAGTGACGGAGAAGTTTCGTGACCAGAACGGTATTAAGGGACTCTGGCTACAGTGTACTAGACTACCTACGTTCCCGCTCTGATAACGCTACCGGCGACGCCTGCAACGCGTCTGCAGTGAAATCGAGCGTAGTGCGCGAATACAGTGTACACGTTAAAGCACTGTCCCTCAATACCTGCTCGAAGTGCAATTCGCTTAAGCCAGATGCATTTCAGTAAAACTAGAGATGTCTAGGCGATGGGGATGTACTGAGGTTAAGGCGTGGGTGTAGTATTGATTTTGTAAAGCGTACCAACGTACGCCGTGAAAATTGTCTTTCGAGTTTTAGTCCCATTTACCTCGAATGGAACCGTCCGTCAGTCGAGAAAAAAAGAACTTAAGCTTTAGTATATGTGCGCTTGATGCTGTAACGCCATGAATAATCAAATCAAATTTACCGTTGTAACAGCGAGTGAGATGTTGCCGTGGAAAGAAAACTTGAAAAAAAAAAAGGCTCGTATGTTAGGAAACATTTCATTGCATGCATCCGTAAGATAAAAACCGCGATCACAAAATGCCATGACACATATTCGTATGATAACGTTGGCATAAAAAACACAAAACATTTTCTTCTGTCCCGAGCACCAAGAAAAAACTGAAATGTGTTGTTATGAGACACATCTCAGTACCTAGTGGCGTCCACATTTGTTGCGACAACAGCTGCCATTCTTAAGGAAAGCGAGTGTTACAAGGCCGCCGTCAGTGACCTGTCACTTCTCAGCCGTTAACACTTATCTATTATGGCAAGCCAGAGGTCATCAGCAGAGACTCCGAGCAGTGACCGACTCGCTTGCGCGGTTTTCAAGATGCGCCACGCATTCTCTATGATGTTGAGGACTGGAGACAGGGATGGCCAGCTGAGAGTGTTGATGCCGCGATTTTCGAAAAACCTTGATACCTTACGGGATCTCTCAACAGGAAGTTATCTTGCTGTAAGAGATAATCGCCTTCTGGGAAGGGAGCATTGAGCAAGTGGGGCACCATCACGTCGTCCAAGATCGAGCAGTAGTGCTCAGACGTGTATCTGTCTTCTATGCGGACTAGCGGACCAAGTTCTTCTCACGAGACCCCACGCGCACACTGCTGGACGGCCTTTTTCAGCCACTCGCTGGAGGTATTCTGGTCTGCAACTGTATAGAAGCATCATTATACCACCCGTTCCCCACAAATCAACAGTCAATTTACTTTACTCGAATACACATCATTTACGCCAACAATGCGTAACTCCGTTGGGCTACGTAGCACGCATATTGATTAACGTCTAATAATGTCTACCTTAATTACTAATTAATGTTTTGATCACGTTCCTATGCAACCAAATTTAATGTTCTTTGTTTTATCTATTCTACAGGCACTACTGGTGCAGGCAGTGTACCTCTGCCTGTGGCAGCACTCAGCCTACGACCACCTTATCGCGTCTGTACCTTTAGATTTGCCGAAGAAGCTTTAAATATGAACTAATACAGACGCCGATAACACCGTTAGTGATAAAATCAAACAAAGTGTCATATTAACGCAAGCGAGCGTAATCACAGAGTGCCCTGAATATCAAGTTCTTCATTCCGTATACACAATATTGCCACGCTCCTTCCTTAAGCTTTCTTATCACCCCTTTACGCTGTACACGGTTCTCAGCGCAAACTAAGCTTACAGTGTTCGAGATGCTTCAGGGCTGCCGTAGATCAATTTGTTGAGAATAATCCCACATCGTGAGCATTTCAGATTATTCTGGAATCTACGTCGCTGCTAGCGATAACGCTAGAGTGTTCGATGGCGAGTGTATAAATGCCGACACGCTTCGCCACTTGTCAGTTCATCGACGACCGAAGCTCAGTTCGCCGATATCAGTGCCAGTGTCCTGCTGTAATCTCTATTTCCTTTTTCGTGGCCACAAGCGTCTGAATAAACAATTTGATTTTTGACCTACTGTTTGGTCCCTTCATCGTTGTCATGACCCTTCCTGATTCATGCACCGCACGCCACCTTCCAGCCTTGAACAAAGTCCATATTGTGAAGAAGACACCAACGCCAACCACGACCAGCGAGTCAGCCGTAGGCAACAAGGTATACGGCCGGAGTACGGACCTTTACCCAACAAGACTCGCACATCCACCATGACGACCACTGCTGCAACGATGACTGCCACTGCGCCCCTTCCTGCGGCTATTGTGATGCACCCACCCCGAGAGCCACCGAGCTTCCATTGACCACCTAAAAGAGAACCGAAAACCTGGCTCGAGACATACGACCAAGTCGTCCCATTAAACAGCTGGGACACCGAAGAAAAACTACGCCACGTATACTTCTATCTAGAAGATGCCGAAAAGACATGGTTCGAGAACCGGAAGTATTTGCTGCGTAGCTGAGATGTCTTTTGGATGACGTTCCTCGGCACGTTCACGGGCGTCATCCACAATGCACGTGCTGCGACTATCCTGGAGACGCGTGTGCAACTCCCCAACGAGACCGTCCGAA